TTTCCCTCCTCCTCTCCTCTCTTCTTCTCCCTCTCTTTCTTCCCAGAGCTGTGCATTTCATTAATTCTTTCCACTGTTACATAAAAATGAAAATCTGAGCCACACTATAAATTACCAGCATCTCCTAACTTGAGAAAAATTGAGTCTACTTTGTACTTCACCCTTGTAACATTTCATCTCTCAGTTTGGCTTCCCCTAACATAAACACAGCAGCCCGGCAAATGAATGTGCTAAAACCAAATGACACACTTTGCCGCTGAAAGAGCAGAACTGTTTTTGAGCAATGGGTGGTCTGTGAGGCTTGGAGTAGGCAGGGAAAAAAAGTGTAAGCGTACACCGTCCCTTACAAGCGTGCAGAGCTTCCAAAACTCGCAGAAATCTCTGCATGCTGAAGTACATCAAAGGGATTTTTCCCTTTTCGGATAATATTTCCTTTGCTGACATGTATTTAGTATTGTGGTTGGATGACTCATAAAGATAGCTTCATGGCGTCCCAACGCAGTTGAAGCAGAACACATGCCAACAAACATTATTGTCAGCCTCAAAATAAAAACAAAACGTTCAGCTAAGGGTCAATCAATCATGAGCACTTTGAAGAAAATTCCATTTAGATATTACAAATCATAACAGAATGAATTTAAACCAGCTGACTTTCTGTGAGGAGGACGTCCATGTACAATAAAAATTAGGCCGGTTTTTCAGTGTCCAACTTTTCTATTTTCTTACACTTGGATGCAGTCACTGGTGATGGATGCCAGTTTTTTAAATTGTGTTTTTGTAGTTCATTTTATAAAGATCTGAAGTAATCGAAAACAGATCAACAGAGGGAACTCTAAGTAAAAACTCCATCATGAAAGGAGAGTTGTAAAATCCACTTAATATTGACAGATGTGTAATGACTTTCTCATGCTCCCTTTTCATTTAGATTTGTCATATATATATATATGTACTTGTATTTTTTTCTTATTTTTGTACATATACATGTGCATGCACACACCACCACACTGAGAAACAGTTCACAAGATACCTATGAAAATACTCTTTCATAACAGCAATCTTTATTCATTATCCAGCATGTTTATTTAAAATCTGATGGGATTTTAACTATAGATATCAGATATTTAAGGCTATAATAAAAGATTTGTAATGTATAAATAGGATTGTTGGTTTTTTTTTTAACTGAGGCGTTATTAGTTAACTGGCCAGAGAATAAAAAAGCCCAAAATGCAATTGAACAATTTTACCATTGTTAAATTGAAACCCTATGGAATAATCAAACTTAATATAAATTTCATTTTAGCTTGCTTTTGTATGTTTTATTTTTAATTTTAAAGGTACTTTAAATAAGTTTAAGATTCTTCCTAAAGAAAAGAAATTCCACTCTCCAAAGTAACTAGCGAAAATGGGGATTGCTCACTGTGACTGGCAAGCCTGGGACATTCTTTGATGTGTTTTCTACCAAATTAATAAGGCCAAGCAGTTGCTTCTGATTCTGAGGCAAAAGGTTTGTTTATAGCTGAGATCATGTATTTATGTAATGTGTTGTCTGGGTTTTTCTGGATATTTGTAAGTACAAAGTAAAATGCACAGTAATTTCTTTACTTTTCACATTTTGACCTTCTCTAGCCAGCAACACAAAAAGCAGAAACACTAGTCATTCTGGCTAGCAGGTGCATCTTTATTAAAGGGTAGAAGATTGCTTTCATTGGCTTGCTTTGGGTCAGAACATTTGAAATGTGCAGAGGGCTCTGTGCAGTTTGGGGGTCACGCAGGTGGCACAGGACTGTACTTGTTCCCAGGAGCTGCAGCTCTAGCATACTTACAGCAACAGCCTCATCTCAGGGCAGCCAAAATTAAACCCATCCTCTCTGCACTCTGCAGCTTTTGTATTGCCCCGAAAAAGCACATTCACAAAAGCCCTGCTGCTGTCTTTGCAATCAAAGGTAACGGTGTCACGTCTGAATTTTCACTAAAAACATTTCCATTTTGTCACATTGAGTAAATAAAAATATACTTTACCTGTACTGAACCACTGTTAAGTTCTGTTCCCCACAGTGCCTTGCACATCGGATATACCTCATCCAGCTTGACTTACTGGGTTCTCCACCATCAATAAAGTGCTGTAGTGTCCCATCTTGGTCATATATCTAGGAGATATGTCACAAGGTCAAGTAGTTAGAACAAATAATCAGCAATCATTTTCACTACTTTGCTGGTGTCTCTCTGTGCCTTTTCCAGGAATTTATTGCCATGAGTTTTGTCATTGTATACTAGTGCTCTTAGAAATCTACATGGAACGGCAGAAAAGTATTTTGGGGGATGAAAGTTTATCATGTTTCTTTTATCAAGCCAATCTTTTTGTATTAAACATATTTGTGGTGTCTCAAAGATGGGACCATGTTTCCCAAAGAATATTTAACCTATTTTGACAGACTGGCTTTAAATAATGAACTGCCAGATAAACAAGAAATCTGGATGTAAAGCCTGTGTTGAAACGGCTGGAACATCTGAACAAGAGTCTGTAGTAATCCCTAGTCATGTATCCCTTCCTTCACATCTGAGTTGCAGCAAGAGCATGTACTTCAGCAACCTCACATGATACATTAGGGAGCTGTAGGATTCATAATACTGAGACAAATGAGGCTAGAAGGAAAAAGATAGTTGAAGATGCCTTTAGAAGATCCCTTGAGACACATAATTTTTTGAAGTAGTAAATGAGCAATCAGTCCTGAGGGAATCATGGTTTCCCTAATCATGACATCTCAGCTAAGGACATGAGAGCTAGTTATGGTAATTTTTAAAAAGATGGTATTATGTCTCTATTTGGCACCGGATACTTCCTCTGAAGCTGAAGAATAAAATTGCTCTGGAGGCTCTGAAATCAAAAGGTACAGATTTCAGGCACACCTGCCTTTCTGATGGCTTAAGAAATGTAATCTAGGAAGTGCTAATCCTAGTAAAAGCACATAATCTCACCAGATTCTTACCTGTTAAGCAACTGCTCTGTTAAACTTCAGAAATGTATCTGAACAATTAGGTGTTTATCTGAAGCAAACATGATCTTCAGATCTTTTGCCACTCCACAGATGCCATCTGCTTTAGTAATCCTACCCCAAAAATGTTATCCCTTTTGAAACTGTTTGAGCCTAAATTGATGTCTTCTTGAAAATATTAATTCTGCTAACTAAAGAGGAAGCACAGTTATTACATTGAACAGATTATTTCTGGATAACAATCTTGCTTTTCTACTTCAAGATCAAGAGAATAATATCAGAAATTATAGGCCTATATGAAATATTTAAGATTAAGATTAAAGAGTGTTTCTCTACAATGCACATAAAAACATACACAGGAATCAGACCTAGTTCTTTACTCCACCACATGACAATCTCAAGTTCAGGGTAAAGTCTCACTTTTGCTTTTGACCAACTGGGACTGAGAGTAATCAGAAGCAATATAGCTATTACTAGAGCATGAACAACAGGGCAATCAAGTGTCTACAGAGATTCTTATCATTTGTTCTTGAGTGCCTGTGACCTCGTCCTGGCTGGATGCTCCTGGGTCAGAGAAGCAAGATGCTACCCCAACATGCCCTAAGTAGTGGAATAAAGTCAGAAAAATCAGGAGTCCTCAGAGCCAAAAAAAATACTCCTATATCAGGTATTTTATTTATTTTTTTAATATGGCAGCTTGTTGATTATCAGCAAGGATCTAGTCTTATGTAAACACATTAATGTATATTGAATATATGAGCTATGTTAAACAGTAAAATTCTGTAATCAAAATGGAAAAAAGAAATACAAGAAATTAGCCTAAAAAAGAAGGAAGAGAAGGAAAAAAAAATTACTAACTGTGCTTGGCTTGGACCATGTTTGCAATATCTATCCATTCTAGCACAGTGTTTATTATCTATTCATTTACATGGTGCTTACTAACATAACAATATAGGGCTTGATATGAGGCAAGAATAATTCTCATAAAGAACAGCTAGCTTCCTAATCCCTAGATGATATGAAACAGGGAAGTCAAAGAAGACTGCTATAATCAGTACTGACAGCTATATCTGGACACACACAGGGACTTGCTCAGAACTTTGTGTATATGGACAATCATGAGCTGACATGAGAGATTAAAGTCTGCCATGAAAATGCAGTACTGGAGCTCTCTCAGGCCTTGGCCTGGAGTAGGAAGTACTTCTCTACAAGCAAGACTAAATATGTTCAAATGCTTTATTCTTTCATAGACTGGTGCAACAGCAAGACTACCCTCTCCTTTCCCTAGGGGGATATTACTGACATGGCAAACAAAGCTATAGAGTCAGAATCCATCTTACAGCATTCTTAGCCCAGTTCTTACAGGAATGAAAATCCAGCTGTTAAGAATGGAGAAACCCTAACTTTAGAAGGGAAACACTTCATTGTATCTGTTTATTTGTCAACTTGCATAATACAGGTTGAAATCTGGAAAAAAATAACTGATACCGTTATTAGCGTTTATGCTGCCATTGTTCTTCAGTTCTTGTTCATTTTACAATTGCTTGAATATAGCAACCACTATATCATTGCCTGAAGAAACCATCACGTGGGAGGAATGAAAATCCAGCTGTTAAGAATGGAGAAACCCTAACTTTAGAAGGGAAACACTTCATTGTATCTGTTTATTTGTCAACTTGCATAATACAGGTTGAAATCTGGAAAAAAATAACTGATACCGTTATTAGCGTTTATGCTGCCATTGTTCTTCAGTTCTTGTTCATTTTACAATTGCTTGAATATAGCAACCACTATATCATTGCCTGAAGAAACCATCACGTGGGACCACCCCCCCCCCTGCCATAACAGAGGAAAAGGAAACCTAACACACAAATTGTGAACCCTGACATTATAGCAAACTATGTGGATATGTTTCCTGCACGTCTATTACACATATATATGTGCCTAAACACTCCTAGTTTCTATTAAAAAAATTACTGTAGAATCCTGTGATAAACTGATGTTACTGAATATCTTTGATTACCTCACTAGATCACAACATTAATCTACATTGACACTGTAAGAGCCTCATGGCAAATAAAATCCCTTTTCTCCAATTCACTATGTAAAATGCACAACAATCTGGATATCACAACAATCCAAGGAGTGGAAAAAAAAATTAGTAATTTCTCTTTTTTATGCTGGTTATGCTTGAAAATGTTACCTAAACTGCTTACCATGTATTTTCCTTTTTCTCACCCAAAGTATTTGTAAACTGTTTTGTTATTTGTTTTGAGGTTGTTTTGTTTGTTTGTTTGTTTGTTGCTGAGTTTTAAGAGGTTGGGTTTTTTTGCTTGAAACATTTCAAAGCTTTAAAGTTTCTTTTTTATGGTCTCTGTTCCAATTTTGAGGAATGCAACAGACTACAGGCAGACACTGGAGTCTGATAAAAGAGGACTTCATTCACCTTCTCATTTGACAAGCCTTGTACTCCTTTTTATCTGTTCCCACACTTACTAATGGGTTCTTGGTTATTTACGGGTAGTTTACTGCTATGTTAAATATCAAGAGACACAGAATGTGAAACATATTATTATACAAGTATCCCTTCCATTTCTTATACCCCTTCCTTTAAAAACACCAGTTTACTCAGTAATCAAGACACAGATATAGACAGGTATGACATGTATGATGGAATTTCTCACAGAGTGTCACTGATATTCCTCTTGAGGTACACATGTATTCCAACAGGGAAATATGGGAAAAAGCAGATAGGATGTCAATGCACAGATACTGGTCAGGTTCACCTTGTCATTGCATGTAAATATAACTTAAATATGAAGGATTTGATTTATTGCTTGTTGGATCGTCTATTGATAATTATTTGGAATCTGTAGATACCACAACTTATAATGACAATGATAATAGCAACATATAATGGCAATAATAATATAATTTCTAAGGCTCACAGTGTCCGATATAAATGATGCTTTAAAATCTATTAATGACTGCTAATAAGTAAAACAAAAAGCAGTCGCTGGAACATCCATCACTCTGGCAACATGCCAAGTCCAGGTAGGACTGTGTAAGATTTAAATAGCATTAACAGATAAGGCAGAGTGCTAAAGACCCTTCTGAGAACTCTGTTATATCAGTACTGACAAAGGCAGTATTGGCCACTGGATAGACGAGGACAAATGTAATTTGCTTTTGCTCCAGTTTCTGATAGAGGTGCCACAAAATTTTAGAATAAAGGAGACCAATTGTCATAGTTCAGTTGCAGAGAGAGCCAAGCTATGAGGCAATTAGAAACAATTTCACAGTAGAGAGAGAGAGATGAAAAAATACTAGGTTTTTTGGAGTTCTTACCTCTCTATCTGTTGCTTTCCTTTGTTCCCTGTCCATGGCCTGCTAAAGGATTCTTTTCTTGGTAATTCTGCCTGGATTTATTTTCCATTTTGTCAAATAAAAAGCGTATTAGCTTACAATTTGATTGACCTCTAATTTTCCTTGCAGGCAGAGGGAGAAAAGACTGGTCCTGTGTGTGTACCTTTATATTATAGAAGAAGTTACTAGAATAGTTTTTCATGTTGCAAGACATCAAAAGAGATGTGGAAAACCAAAAAACATGCAAGAATTCTCACCATTAGTAGAGAATCTTGCTTTTTCAACTTGACTGCTATTCTCATAAGGTCATTGGATTTTCAAATCTCTCAGCATGAACCTTCTCTTCCTACAAGAAATTCTACTCGACTTCAGTGGGAAGAGTCAAGAAAGCAAGGATTACTTTTGATGAGTAGATAGATTTCATAAATCAGCCATTAATTTAGAAACCATGGTTGTACTCTAAATTACTGGGAAACCTTTTTAACAGTCTGACAAAACTGATTGACATGTCAGATATGTAGCATCCATACAAGTTACATTATTTTGGTAAAAATGTATGAAACTAAAAGCCATAGTAACTCTGAAAGCTTCTTCCTTGGGTGGCTTGGACATTGGAACTGATTGGTGTATACATTAGCAAATCTCACTACTCTGAGACCTTATTTCTCACATAACACTACAACATCTGCTACAACTGAGCATATCCTAAATAGAAATTGAAAACCATGACAAAAGAGTAAAGTTTATAAGTGTGGGTATTTAGCTGATAGTCTGTAAAGGGTGTGCAT